TTCGTAATTTTGGGTAATTAACTTTTCTGTGGCAACAAATCTGCCTTCAACTTTTAATTCTCGTTTAATTGCCCATGTTGTTTGAGTTACACGTGTATGTGTATTTTCGCCCTTTCCTTTTCCCCCAGTTTCTTACAGAAACAATGAGACAAGCCACTGATCCCCCATCCTTGCCCACTGCATCAGAGAGTTCCTGTAGGTCTGACCACTCTACTCTCCATGAAAGCCTTCCAATGTTGGACTGCTTGGACAATTAGACGTGCATGCCTCATAACCATCTCAAACACCCAAATATTTTTTTTAGTTTGAAATCTAAGGTTTTATAGTTTATTTAACATACTATACAATGGAAATATATTTTACAATAATCTTATTATGAAAAGTAAAGAAAATACAGAATCATTAAAAGAATTAACTAGGGTTGATAATACTATATAAATAAATCACATGTTGAAGTTCTAACGAATTCATTTTATTAGCTGAACATTAATTAAACTATGTAATGTATCTTGTCATTATCTCTTAAATGTAAATTGTATTAATTTGAAGAATTATTTGTTATTTTATATATTAAAGATTTAGAAAAAAATATATTTAAAAGAATTAATCCACCAACTTGATTTCAGTTGATTAATTGAAAGGCAAAAAATCTACTTAACATATTACGGTTTTATAAATATTTTAGGATGAAAACTTAATATGTGAAAGAAAATTAATAATATGGTCAGAACTTAAGAATCTATCTTCACGTTTATCTTGAACAAAATATTATCAACATGAATCACGAATAATCAGTTTGAAGTTTATTATAACGTACATCAATGAAATTATTGCAGATGCTAGGAAAATATTTTTATCGTATCCAATTTGAAAACGTGTATATACAAGCCATTAATACATAAATTTTTTTTTTTAAAAAAAATTTAAAGAAACATGTATTAATTTTCTCATCTTTTTACTATTGTTTTAGTAAATTTTATTCTTTCTATACATTTATATAGGTGGTAGAGTAGACTAAATAGTAAATATTTGAAGACCCAAAAGAGTTACCAAATTGGTTTGTAGGCAATAGGGTCCATAAACAACCGTTCAAAAAATCAAATTTAAATTCCCAAAAAATCAATTTAAATACTCCCTCCTTCCCCTTTCAAACGGCTATCTGTCCCTCTTTGTTTCTCTCTCTAAAGCTCTCCCAACTGTCTCTCCTCCTCGAGCACAGATTCTCTTCTTACCTCGCCTTCAACACGAAGAATTTCGTGATGCCAAGAAATCAAATCTTGAGAGAATATCATGAAATTCTTTCAGCATCTCCTAACCCTAAATCGAGGCCGACCACACCAAGCCCTAGCAGTCGGAAGCTCAAGTCGAGCAAGGAGAATGCGCCTCCATCGCCAGCGTCAGATACAAACTCCATGGCATCATCTCCCGCTGCCAAGAAGAGTTCTCTCCCCCCTCGGCCGCCACTCAAGCGCAAGCTCAGCGTCGAGCCCGTGTCGTCCGAAAATTGTGGGCCAACTGCAAATTCTCTAGATTCTGGAGTGCAGGTTTTAAAATTCTATTTCGTAAATAGATCACTGCCTGTTTCTATTGCATTTCTTCAAGCGGAACAATTCTAGATTTTTTCCTGATAGGTATCGTATATAGTGTTATCATGGGGTTTAGTCATTGTTCTTTCACTGTTGTCTTTGAGTTGTTGTAAACAAAAGGTACAATCTACCAGTTCCTGTCCAGTTTATCTTCAACGCCTTTCTTTCCTCTCTTGATCTGAAAATCTGCGTCGGCAAGTTGCAGTCTTGGAATACCCCATGTTATATTGATGCAGAACTCATGAAGATCTTGAATCTGATTTCTTACGAATCAGTACCTGTTTGCTCTTAGCAAGATATTTTTGTACTTTATTTCCTTATTTATGAGGTTTTACTATAAACCATGAACTGCAGTGTGAATATTTTGTGTTGATACAGTCATCTGGAAAGGTTGTTTGTTTGGCCACTTATTCTCACAGTGTAATGCCTCAATATGTAATGATACCTATATTTTCTTATCTCCTTGATCAACTACAGCGTACGCATGTGATTAGGCGCCATTTCTAACAAAGTTTTTACTGATTGAAACATAAGTACTTGTTCAAATATATGCGGGGTGTTACTCAAATTGTAGGTGATAGTGCGTGTGAGACCTCCAAACAAGGAAGAAGATGGTGGAAATGCAGTTCAGAAAATTACGAAAGATTCCTTAACAATATCAGGGCAAACCTTTACGTTTGACTCTATTTCTGACATTCACTCGAAACAGGCATGAGATCCTCTGAATATTCATTTTCTTGGTGGCACAATGTTTCACATCAAGGTTTGATAAAGAATGAATTATTGATGGAATGACATTTTTTATTGCTCTGTTTCAGATTGATATATTCGAACTCGTCGGTGCACCACTAGTTGAAAATTGTCTTGCTGGGTTCAACAGCTCTGTCTTTGCATATGGGCAGGTATAGTATTCATTTTAAATTAAGGATTCTATTATAGAGTAAATATTATGCTACAGAAATGCACAGCAGTATGACATACTCATGTAATGGTTATGAATCTACACCTTTTCTTTGATCAGACTGGTAGCGGGAAGACATACACCATCTGGGGCGTATCCAATGACCTGTTGGAGGAAGAACATCAAGGCCTAGCACCACGGGTATTCTGCAGGCTATTTGCACGGATTGCTGAGGTGGCATCCAGTTAGTTTGATGCACTATTTTTGTCAAACTATTTCATGATGTGAAATTGTTTGATTGCTTTGATCTCTTATCTGTAAGAACCTATGTAGGAGCAAACCAAACAAGCTGATAGACAGCTGGTGTATATGTGCCGTTGTTCTTTCCTTGAGGTAGGTAACTTTTATCTTTTCAATGCTCATCTAATTTTCTATTTCTTAATTATTGTGTTATCATCTATACCAAGTATCTGGGGATCATGTTGACAGATATACAATGAACAAATAACTGATTTGTTGGATCCAAGTCAAAAGAATCTCCAGGTTAGGCAAGCTAGTTATACTTAACCAGAAATTTGTTTAGTCTCTTATTTTCGCATAAATTAATGACTCTGTTCTTTTTCCAGATAAGAGAAGATGCCAAAACTGGTGTTTATGTAGAAAATCTAAGAGAGGAGTGTGTAACCTCAATGAAGGATGTGTCACAGCTTCTGATAAAGGTTTGCTATGCTGTTTTTGGATTTCACATCAAATAAATCATGAACTTCTCTATTTTGAGAATATGCTTGATTACTTGGCCAGTTCTTAGCAGAGTCGATTTGGTTGGATTTCCTTGTAATTTTATTAATTATACTGATCAAATTTGTTTTGGAAGTTAGTATAGTACATGTGTGGAATCATGCATATTTTGCAACAACTTATCTTTTCATTATTGAAGCAAGTTGCACGGAGAAGTTACCAAGATAAAAAGTCATAAAAGTTTCATAGTATAGTAAAGTTATCATTCTTATCTATTCCTAGTTTTGTTTAATATATGCCCTCCACATCTAAAATCACTTAGACAAGAAAAACCACAAGTTGAAGTTGTTGAAAGTTTGAGTAACCAAGCGGACAAATTCCCTTTAATTCTTGACTGATGTATATCATTAAGATATAATAAGGACAATCATCCTTAAACCATCTTTTGAGTAGGATGAGACTAATAGGCCAATGGGTGCTGCCTGGGGTATTCTAGAATAAGTGATTGTTTGTTGGATGTAAATGCGTTTTGGCTCCAAACATTACCCGTTTCAGATCAGTGGTGTAGCAATGTCTTCTTTTGCATTGTTTTGCTTCCTCTTGTTATTGAGAATCACTCAACTGAATATAATATGGACACTCCCACTTATTTTCTCTGCATACAGGGGTTGTCAAACAGAAAAACCAGTGCCACATGTGTGAATGCTGAAAGCTCCCGTTCCCACAGTGTTTTCACATGTGTGGTTGAATCACGTGGCAAGGTAAGGGGATCCTTGATTTAAAATTTATTGCTCTAGATACTAACTCATAATCAATTTTGACTGTTGTCCATCTCATTTTTTGGATTTTGAGAGTCAAGTTGACAAACAGAGATTGAATTTGTCTAGAAGTTAATCTCGTATATTTTATTGTGTACTCGGGTGTGGCATACATCCAGACGTGTTGGTGTTTGTTCTCCTTTTTGTTCTTTTCCTTTTGACTGCCACTTCGTTTGACTCAATCTGCTAAATCGTGGATTATATATATTACAGAGTGCAGCCGATGGTTTAAGCCGCTTAAAAATGAGCAGGATCAATTTTGTTGACCTTGCTGGATCTGAGAGACAAAAGCAAACAGGTGCAGCTGGAGAACGCTTAAAGGAAGCAGGGAATATTAACCGCTCACTTTCACAGCTAGGGTATGTTTCGCCTCCAAAATCATTGAACAACGTGATAGTAAATGATAGTTTATACCTTTATATATGGGAACTGAAATGTAGTTAAGTTGTGGTGGATGATTTACAATAAGTGGATGTAGTTGCCAATTATTATTTTTGGCCTTTGGTGGCTGCAATATTGCTCTCGTGATTGCTAATATTATTTGAGAATAAATCAGGGGTTGGTAATGAGATGATTACTTATACCAAGTAATAAGATAAGATGCTAATAATAGAACAAGGTGTTCAATGTGAAATATTTATTCATCTTACTTTATATGTAATGACTTCTGTATATTTGGACACATCAAATATGATACCCTGCTACTCTTCTGTTCAAGTTCACCCCGACCACTCATAAAGACGATGAGATTCACATCAACCTTTTTAAATTTTGTTGTTTTTGTTAGAATGTCTTGTATTATTGTTAGGATATCTTTTATTATACGATATAATCCTTGTGCACCTTGATTAGTTTTTTTGCTTTCCTTAGTTGTTTCCCCAGAATAGGTGTGAATATTTATTTGATTATAGTTTCCATGTAATCTTGATTTGTTGGCCTTATTTAGCTCCTTGTATGTCCCTGTATAAGCAATAGAACAATAGAAGAAATGGTGTCAATTCAAAAGCACCACACAAGAGCATGTTTTTTGTGTTCGCGTGAGTTTTCTTTTGTGTCTTGTGTTTTGGCCGTGATCTCGCCAACAATCGGGTGTTGTCTCTCCGGCGAGTTTGTAACATGTGGCATCAAAGTTACTCGTACTTGTGACCAGAGTGAGAAGAAGAACGTTGAAGGCTCCTCAAAGGATGACGTTGTGATCGAGGGAGTGATTCGTGATGTGAGCGGCAGGAGTAGTTAGCCCGTTCTCACCAAGACAAATTACTCTGACTAGGCACTCATTATGAAGGTCAAATTGAAGGCTAGGGCTCTCTGGGGCTTGATCGCGGACGGCGGCGTCGATCCACAAGAGGAGAGGGTGCCACTGGAGATGGTATCGATGATCGCCAAAAAAGAGACAGTGAGGGAAGCCTGGGACGCAATCGCGACCATGAGGGTTGGGGACAGCCGCGTCAGGAGATCGACGGAGCAGCAGTTACGTCGAAAATTTGACCTCGCTGCTTTT